TTATAATTACACTTTTCATAAGTATCTTTTATAAGTACACTTTTTATAAATATTTTATGAGTACACTTTTCATAAGTATTTTTAAGTACACTTTTCATAAGTATCTTTTATAAGTACACTTTTTTATAAGTATTTTATTTGGACACTTTTAATAAATATTTTTAATAAGTACACTTTATAAGTATTTTTTATGAGTACACTTTTCATAAATATTTTTAATAAGTACACTTTATAAGTATTTTTTATGAGTACAGTTTTGATATTTTTTATATTTACACTTTTCATAAGTATCTTTTAAGTACACTTTTCATAAGTATCTTTTATAAGTACACTTTTTATAAATATTTTATTTGGACACTTTTCATAAATATTTTTAATAAGTACACTTTATAAGTATTTTTTATAAGTACAATTTTCATAAGTATTTTATTTGGACACTTTTCATAAATATTTTTAATAAGTACACTTTTTTATAAGTATTTTATTTGGACACTTTTAATAAATATTTTTAATAAGTACACTTTATAAGTATTTTTTATGAGTACACTTTTCATAAGTATTTTTAAGTACACTTTATAAGTATTTTTTATAAGTACAATTTTCATAAGTATTTTATTTGGACACTTCTCATAAATATTTTTAATAAGTACACTCTATAAGTATTTTTTATGAGTACACTTTTCATAAGTATTTTTAAGTACACTTTTCATAAGTATCTTTTATAAGTACACTTTTTTATAACTATTTTATTTGGACACTTTTAATAAATATTTTTAATAAGTACACTTTATAAGTATTTTTTATGAGTACACTTTTCATAAGTATTTTTAAGTACACTTTATAAGTATTTTTTATAAGTACAATTTTCATAAGTATTTTATTTGGACACTTTTCAAAAATATTTTTAATAAGTACACTTTATAAGTATTTTTTATAAGTACAATTTTCATAAGTATTTTATTTGGACACTTCTCATAAATATTTTTAATAAGTACACTCTATAAGTATTTTTTATGAGTGCACTTTTCATAAGTATTTTTAAGTACACTTTTCATAAGTATTTTTATAAGTACAATTTTTATAAGTATTTTATTTGGACACTTTTCATAAATATTTTTAATAAGTACACTTTATAAGTATTTTTTATGAGTACAGTTTTGATGTTTTTTATAATTACACTTTTCATAAGTATCTTTTAAGTACACTTTTCATAAGTATCTTTTATAAGTACACTTTTTATAAATATTTTATTTGGACACTTTTCATAAATATTTTTAATAAGTACACTTTATAAGTATTTTTTATAAGTACAATTTTCATAAGTATTTTATTTGGACACTTTTCATAAATATTTTTAATAAGTACACTTTTTTATAAGTATTTTATTTGGACACTTTTAATAAATATTTTTAATAAGTACACTTTATAAGTATTTTTTATGAGTACACTTTTCATAAGTATTTTTAAGTACACTTTATAAGTATTTTTTATAAGTACAATTTTCATAAGTATTTTATTTGGACACTTTTCATAAATATTTTTAATAAGTACACTTTATAAGTATTTTTTATAAGTACAATTTTCATAAGTATTTTATTTGGACACTTCTCATAAATATTTTTAATAAGTACACTCTATAAGTATTTTTTATGAGTACACTTTTCATAAGTATTTTTAAGTACACTTTTCATAAGTATCTTTTATAAGTACACTTTTTTATAAGTATTTTATTTGGACACTTTTAATAAATATTTTTAATAAGTACACTTTATAAGTATTTTTTATGAGTACACTTTTCATAAGTATTTTTAAGTACACTTTATAAGTATTTTTTATAAGTACAATTTTCATAAGTATTTTATTTGGACACTTCTCATAAATATTTTTAATAAGTACACTCTATAAGTATTTTTTATGAGTACACTTTTCATAAGTATTTTTAAGTACACTTTTCATAAGTATCTTTTATAAGTACACTTTTTTATAAGTATTTTATTTGGACACTTTTAATAAATATTTTTAATAAGTACACTTTATAAGTATTTTTATGAGTACACTTTTCATAAGTATTTTTAAGTACACTTTATAAGTATTTTTTATAAGTACAATTTTCATAAGTATTTTATTTGGACACTTTTCATAAATATTTTTAATAAGTACACTTTATAAGTATTTTTTATAAGTACAATTTTCATAAGTATTTTATTTGGACACTTCTCATAAATATTTTTAATAAGTACACTCTATAAGTATTTTTTATGAGTGCACTTTTCATAAGTATTTTTAAGTACACTTTTCATAAGTATTTTTTATAAGTACAATTTTTATAAGTATTTTATTTGGACACTTTTCATAAATATTTTTAATAACTGCACTTTATAAGTATTTTTTATGAGTACACTTTTGATATTTTTTATAATTACACTTTTCATAAGTATCTTTTAAGTACACTTTTCATAAGTATCTTTTATAAGTATCTTTCATAAATATTTTTAATAAGTACACTTTATAAGTATTTTTTATAAGTACAATTTTCATAAGTATTTTATTTGGACACTTCTCATAAATATTTTTAATAAGTACACTCTATAAGTATTTTTTATGAGTGCACTTTTCATAAGTATTTTTAAGTACACTTTTCATAAGTATTTTTTATAAGTACACTTTTTATAAATATTTTATTTGGACACTTTTCATAAATATTTTTAATAAGTACACTTTATAAGTATTTTTTATAAGTACAATTTTCATAAGTATTTTATTTGGACACTTTTCATAAATATTTTTAATAAGTACACTTTATATGTATTTTTTATAAGTAAAATTTTAATAAGTATTTTATTTGGGCACTTTTCATAAATAATTTTAATAAGTACACTTTATAAGTATTTTTTATGAGTACACTTTTCATAAGTATTTTTAAGTACACTTTTCATAAGTATTTTTTATAAGTACAATTTTAATAAGTATTTTATTTGGACACTTTTAATAAATATTTTTAATAAGTACACTTTATAAGTATTTTTTATGAGTGCACTTTTCATAAGTATTTTTAAGTACACTTTTCATAAGTATTTTTTATAAGTACACTTTTCATAAATATTTTTAATAAGTACACTTTATAAGTATTTTTTATGAGTACACTTTTCATAAGTATTTTATATGATTTTTTTTAGGTTTATGATTTATGATCAAATGCTAAGGGAAACAGATAAATGCACACATTTGACCTGTAATTACTAATGCGGGACCGTGAGTGAAAGAGCGAAGAGAATTACACAGTCCAGGGGCCTCATGTATAAACGTTGCGTACGCACAAAATGGGCATAGAAATATGCGTACGCATTTTTCCACGCGCACATCGGGATTTATAAAAAATAAACTTGGCGTAAATAAGTGCGCACCGTAAGGATGCTCTTGACCGTGCGTACACACTCTTTTAGAAGATTATAGGTTTTGGCGAGACCGATGGTGAGCTGGAGTCAAATGTATTTTTGCTTACAGAGAGTCTAAAGAAAATTATACATCTACAGAAAGATAATACAAATATAATTTCAAAAACCTATCATCACTTGAAGCAAACATCCATCCCTTCTTAAATGACTGCCAACACGCGTTGGGCCGTTTGGTGAAACTGACGCACATATAGCCTATAATCTAACGGCAGATGGAGTAAAACCGTAAATCTTCATTATGAGTCCAAATCATAAATACAGTCCATATTCACAATAACAGTTTAAATAAATAAGAGAATGGTTTAAACTATGTTTTACTTCTCATATAAACATTTAGATTAAATATGCCATTCTCATTAATGGAGTTAAACTCTTAAACTACATGAAATCATTACTGAGAAGTTACAATATATATATATATATATTCAATAAATATAAATAGACCTATTGTATTTGTTGTGGATGCATTGCTTTTGAACACTTTTCTTCTGGCATGCTGTGTTTTAATGTTTTAACTAGAGATTTTCTGAGAAAACTGTTTCGTGCAAATAATGCACAACCATGTCTATCTCTTCCATTAAAATCTCTTCCATTATCCATTAAAATATAAATCAATTAAAAATACTATTTGGCCAGTGGAAAAGATTGAGAAAAACTTTCTCTGAAATGTATTTAACACTATTTGATTTATTCATTCAAAAACAAGGCAAGGATATAGGCTACTAAAAAAAAATGTTTGTAATAATGTGACGGCACATCCGCATTTCATATTTTCCTAACGTCTTGTACCGTTAAACTTGGTATCACGTGGATGAATAATCATATGCAAATGATATGCAGATGAGGATATGCATAGTAAAACTAGGCGTTGTAATTTCCATATATGGTTATTTCGGGGAGGAGACGCACGTGCGCATAATCTCCCGCTGACTGGGATTTATAAAGTGAATTCTGCGCAGGTTCTGGCGTACGAACGGTTTTATAAATCTGAAAACTTTTGTGCGTACGCAAATTCTGCCTTATGTGCGTACGCACACTTTAAGGATGAAATCTACGCAAAGTTTTATGCATGAGGCCCCAGATCTCTGGCAGCAGTTGCACGTGCTTCTTATAACAAGAGCACACTACAGTAACATCGCGATGGATTTAATAGTTTATTTAATATTATGATTACACAGAGATTATCATACTGAATATAATAAAATAATAGCAGTCAGTCTTTATTCTTATAAACCCTCGTCCTCATATTCACTGAAAATTGAAGGTACTTGAGCAAAATATTAATTTCAAACGTGTTATTTCATTAATGTCTGCAATAATGAAATAAACTGCTTTAAAGGTGTAATCTGAGCATGTGACTGTACGAGACGGACAGGAAATAATGCGTTTGTGCTTCATCATGTGAACCTGCAGAATTCACATCATTTAGGCCTCGCAGATTTGATCACACTAGATATGATGATATCCTGATTAATAATCATCAACTGTAAACGAAATCGCATGCGATCCGCAGACAAACTCAGGCTGAAAGGAGAAGGCACATCGTGGACGTAATTGGCACATTTCTTTATTTTGAAAACAGACATGAAACCATTTTCCACGATTTTACTCCTTATATTCAAACTCACTTGAACAAGAAAGGCGGGCGCTTTTTCTTTTTTGTTGGATTTTCTCAATTTATAACATCAGTGCAGCAATAATCTCCAATTAAACGGTCATATAACACCACAGACATGAAAAGAAGCCACATGTATTAGTTGTGAAGGTTCTGGTCTCTGGAGGAAGGATTCTCATGCGATGCAGACGATGGACAGAAGAAGGAGAAAGAGAAGAAGAAGGAGAAGAAGAAGAAGAAGAAGAGCTCAAGGTTTGTGTCCTTCGCTGACGTCAGCATCGGAAAACTCCCTCCAAATGTCAGAAAATCTTTGCCACGCCAGAAAAGAGGACAAACATAAAAGCAGACTGCCTTCATCATCATCATCATCAGGGTGAAGAGCAGCCTGTCAATCATTAATGCTTTACATTTCTCTGGTCGAGTGTTAAACGTTGTCCTCTTTGCCGGACTCCTCTGCTGGTTTAGAGTCTTCCACGGCCTCTGGAAAGATCACAACAAACACGCTTACAAACTAAACACTGGCTTGGGTTAAAGTGCATAAACCGAGACAGAAAACCTGGTCAGTCAAGAGCTTTCAGTCAAACCACAGAGAACTGGGGTGGATTAGAGTTCATGTGTGGCGGGTTTACTTTTCTGTCACTTTTGGGAAACATTTGCCACAAGATCCCATTAGGAAATGCATTAACTAACAAGAAGGAATACATATTCTACAGTACGTATTCATCTTTGCTGATATAAGTTTCATTGTCAGTTCTTTTGAACGAATGCAGTTGCTTGTTGAAACCTCACTGTAAAGTGTTACCCAGTTTTTATATACATATATCACAATTCAACAGCAGCCTTTATATTCATGACCAGGGTTGGGAATCGAAAACTTGAGGTCAGGAATCAGATAATTGTTATAAAATGAATATCTCTATTCCTCTATGAGCGTTTCTCCATGCTTTGGAGCGAGAGTGTGTGTTCTGTCCTCGTGTGTGTGTGTGTGTGTACTGGACCCGCAGCTCTTAAAGGGACAGCGCTAATATTCCTGCCGTCTCTATAATCCCACAGCAGAAGACTGAGAACACACACTCGCTCTTCACTGAATAAGCTCTGTAACTATATCTCTAATGTAGATTTGATTGATAGTGTTATTGATTGAATCCAGTGCATGATAGTGTTTGTGTTTCTGACACACCTTTTTTGTCTATTTGGTCTGTTTCCTGGCTGTCGGCGGCTTCAGGCACATGGGCTTGTTTGGCTTCCTCCTGCTTCTGTGCGTCGGCATCGTCGGTGCTCGCCGCGCTCTCCGCCTCTTTAGGCTCGACCGCTTCCTTCAGCTGCTCCTCCTCTTTAGTGGGCGTGTCTGAGGGGGTGGGGTCAGCTGCTGAGGAGGGCGGGGCTTCGGCCGATGCAGGCTGCTCGGCTTCCTTGCTCTCCTCGGCTGTTTCTGTGGACACCTCGGCCGGCTTCTCCTCAGATGGAGACACTCGCTCCTTCTTCTCCTCTGTGGTTTCGGTAGACTCGTCCGGAGCGGCGCCGTTGTCCTCGTCTTTCTCTCCGTCTTTCATTTTTTTCCGGGTGATGTGTCCGCGGAAGCTGGCCTGGATCTTGGTGGCGGCCTTGTGGGCGTTTTCCTCCGGTTTGGCTCCATCCTGCTTGATCTCCTGATCGGCTTCTTCATTCTTCTCAACCTGAGTCCAGAAACACAAACACCATCAGTGACTCAAATGGACTCATCCGAGCTGCTCACGTGTAGCCGTAAAACATTCAAGCGCACACACACACAAACTGTCTTTATCACACAAATCATTGAAAGATCTGAGGAAGGTTTCATCGCTGGAAAAGTTTCATATTTGTGACCGCGAGAGAGAACTCCATTAATCTGTGATAGGAGAAAGCATCACCAACACACAATATCGTTCTGTTTATTTCTGAATGATTTTCAAAACTAGTTATTGTCGTTGGTGTGAACGAGCTTTTACAGTGAGTGGCCAAAGAAAAATCCCTTCCCATCATGCATCTGTATGTACTGTTATAACCACCGCAGGAACTTTCCCCAGGATCTAGGGACTTTGGGGTGGTACTCAGTGTGTTTGCACCGCAGGGTCTAAATGAAGTTCTGGGTAAATATTTCCCCCTCGGAAGGTCCCCGCTTGTTAAGGTATGTTTTTTAAAGTTCAGGTTTCAGGGGTGGGACTTGGGCGCTGGAACATGCTGATTGGTCAAGCTATTGTTGTTTGCTATTTGAATCAACAACGGAGTTTAAAAAAATATGACGATGGTCCGAAGACGAAGTTCTGGCTTTATTACGCTTAAATTCAGAGGAGGGAATTGTAAAGTAGCCAGCAGTCCTACGTTATAGTGATGGCCGGTTTGTGAACGAATCGTTCTTTTCGAACCGGTTCTTTTTACTGAACCGGTCGAACCAGTACACTAAATCGGACTGAATCGTTCGAAACAGTTCGCGTTTTGCGTCAGCACTGTACCGCAAGTTACTCACTTTCAGACATGCCTGACAGTCCCTCCGAATCTAAATAAACCGAAATAAACCAATATCCAGGAGTACATTTTATTCCAGTAACTCAAAAAGTTCACTGAACGGAGACATATGTTGGTGCTGAGAGAAGTGATGAGCACGAGCAGCTGATACTGCGCATGCGTGTACTACCGAACGTACAGCTACAGCGGTTCTCGGATCACCAGTACGAACTGTTTCTTTCGGACACGTTGGACACACTGAGAACTGATGAGTTGATGAGCTGAGCATGCGTGCATTTTTTCTGAGGGACGAAATGTACGTTTCCAAGTCTTTAGTTGAACGTCAGTAAGTGTAACAAAATAAAACATTTTGGAAACATGTTTATTACATAATTACTGTATTTAAAGTTTGGAAACAATGATTGGATTGTAAAACTGTCAAACTAAACATTTATTATTTATTATACTAAAATAATATTTTCAGGAACAGCTCAAGTAACAATATAAATCTTTGATGTAAACTCTTGCCAAGGTTTTAATGGTGCACTGCTTAGTAAATGTTTATAATGTGTTAACATAACGAATTAATTCGTTATGTTTAACACATTATAAACATGATGTATATATACTGTATAGGCTACATGGAGACAGACATGCATGGATTTTTTAGTGTTGTCGACTGTATATTCAGGTTTCAGCTCAGCACACACAGGCCTATGCTATGGTTCTCGAGTCGAGAACTGGTTGTTGCAGTTCTTGAATCTCCAGTACAGAACCGAGAACTGTTTATTTCGGACACGTTCGATACGGAGAACAGAACTTTCTTTCGGCTGGCTGATCTTGTGCTGATACACGAGCACGCAGTGGTACGGGTGAACCCAGGACTTAAATGAGAGGACGAATTGGCGAAATGTAAGTTTATTTAATAACAAATAAAATAATGAAGACCATTTATGCATTTCATATATTTAAAACATGTAAAACATCCGCGTTAGCACATCGCCTAGGCTAGCAGGGTTAGTTTGCAAAATGTAAATGTAAGAAACTTATCCAAGATGATTATAATGATGAGTACTATTATTTAACTGAAGTTATGATTACAAATGCCTTTATTTTAAAGTAGTTTTATCCGCCAGGATGATAGAATTGACGTCATTACGTGATGACGTAAAATAACCGGTTCAGTAAAACGAACTGTCTGAAAGAATTGGACTTCCCATCACTACTACGTTACAGGACTATTTGCCTAATCTTCACGGTACTTTAGTCCACGGTGGAAACGCAGACAGCAACAGGTCTGGGGGAAAAAGGTCCTGGGACACATTGTTCCAGGTAATTTCAGTGGAAACGTGGCTAATGCTGATTTAATTGGATGTCCAGTTGAAGAATCTGGATCAGTGATTTCTAACTAGAACTTGGAAGGACGTTCAGCTGCTGCAATCCCACAATTACAAACATGCCGAGCAATTTTCCTGGGATTGGTGACATGAAGGACCAGTGAGTCTCAAGTTCAGGCTCAAGGAAAAGACTATATGTCCCTTTTGTTTAAAAAAAAACTCTGATAATTATCCAGATGGATCTCAAGAATCGTGGACAGACTGTGTCCGTGTCTCAAGACAAGTTTTCCTGTAAAGTCCACGTTCCCCTTTGGGATTAAGATCACACACTCATTTCACCCCAAAATCACATTTAATTGGCTTGTTCATATTAATAATCTGCATAACATGGCGAAGCTAAAAGCAAAGCAAATGTGAAGATATGACAGAGATTGATGTCAGACCAACAAGAAAAAAGGGAGAAATATGAATACTGAATGTTCAATATTTACCTCGTCCATCAGGGTCCAGGGCGGCTTTTGTCCACAGAGGGCCTTTTAATTTAATATTCAAATGTGTCTAATGAAAAAAGCAAGCATAAAATGAAAGAAAATGGGTGACATAGATAATGCATGACAAAAACATTCATAGAAGAAACTCATAAGTAGCTTAAAGCAGATGAAAATGAAATCATAAATGCAAACTGAATGCATGCCAAATGATTGACAGTTAGATGAAGGCAATTTGATTCCAAAACACTTTTTCATTTATATGTGCAATCTGACTAATGCACTGCAGAGAATTATGTCATTTCTGCATATATTGCTCTGTGTGGCCTGGGTGTGTGAGCAGCGTCTCTTCTCATAACCTGTGGGTTACACTGAGTGTCAATCAATACACATCTCTGGCTGTCAGTCAGTGTCATATCTGATCCGTGCAGATTTTTATTAGTAATGAAAACTATAATAGTAACTCAATGATAGTAAATTAACACACATTGTGCTGGTCACACACAGCGCTCGGGTCTGGACCTGTTGCTCAGGTGTGTGATGTCACTCAGAGTGAGTCATTCGCACCACACGTCATGACATCATCAGCTGATCTCTGAAGTAAAGCTCGTTAAAGGTGTTGTTAGAATGAAACTGACAATAGACTGAAAGATTTCTACACAACAGTAATTAAACATGAGCTTGATCTTCAGGAGTGTTTGATCAGGTTTAATGAGAGAACATTATTTGATCATGTGATCGACACACAGATATTTCACACGTATGACGAACGGGTTTAATATTTGAAAATACACTATCCGAACTTCATCAAAACTTTTGTAAAATATTACAAATGACGACACCCACCAGAGGGAGGAGCCAGCTGAAAGGTTATAACGCTCAGTTTCCATGGTAACATGATGCCAGATTTACAAATGAGTGGTTTATACCTAATTTATGATGACTACCATATGAGATGGGGGAAAGGCAATTAAAAAGCGCTAGACAGTCACAGGCTGAAGTCTGGAAATTGAAGAGTTATTCATTTCTTTACAGGAAAAAGAGGGCGTGTCCAGTCAGGAGATCGACAGCATCATGTGGAGCGAGGCCTGATCATAACTCATCCTCACACACACACACACACACACACACGTCTTAGAGTCGCGGGTCACTTCATTTGATGGTTGGGAATGTAACCAGGTTTTGGTTGTCGGGTTCAAAGGTCACGCTGAAACAAAAGCCAATAAAATGAGCAGTAGCGAAAACCAGATCAATAATCCGACAGAAACCAGAGTTTCAGATCAACCGGTGTCTCACATGGAGATTCTGGAGACCGGTTCTGATTCTGGAGTCATAAACCCTGTGGAGGAAATACTCTCATCACAGGATCTCAAAGGGGAAATATTTCTGCATGTTAAATTAAATCATGCAGGATAAATTTGAACAATCTTGCGGTGTATGTGGAGAGAGCCACACCTTAAACCCACCAGCCCACCCCCTCACACACACACACACGCGAGACGCGCACGCAGACACACACACACACACACACATAGGAGACACGCCTTAAAATTTTCCTGTCGCGATTATAATTCACCTGCACTGACTCATGAATATTCACGCGCCTTTATAACGCGCTGACGTCAGATCTGCACCTGATCCACCATAAGACTCGAGCAGAAGCGTGGGCGCGCGCGCGTGTTTCTGCAGGAGTGAGACAAGAAGACCACACCCTTCATCTTCCTCATGTCTACAGTTCCATCTCACACACACACACACACACACACACAGTCTCGTGTCGCGTTCAGTGGTGTGTAAGAACAAAAGAGAGGCGAATGATTCACCTGCGGTAAAGAGGAGTAAAGATGCCCAACACACACACACACACACGACAGGATTCCTCAAAAGCGGCGCGAGGCGAGGCGCGGCACACACACACACACTTCTAAAGCATTGAGAAAATTAACCTTCCATTGCTTCATAAAACACTCACATTTCCGCTTGAGAGGTTAATTACATCCAACTTTCATCTCCAGAGAAATCATTATAATTCCCTCGAGACTCTAATATCTGTTGAGACACACACACATACCACACCCTGGAACTCATCTCTCTCTCACACACACACACACACACACACTCCAGGTTCACTACTCTTATAACGCAGCTTGAGCATCAAATACACCTGTCTGACAGGTACAGTCCTGATTAAACACTGATCTCACGCGCGTTACAGAGTGAGTGTGCTCGTGCTCGTGCTCATCATCATCATCATCATCCTCATCATCATCCTCACACAGGTTACAATAGAAAAGTGTGAATAATACAGATATTTACCGGCTTAGTTCTTCTGATACAGCACAGCATAGTCGTATCCTTTCAGCGTCTCGCTCTGTCTCTTCCTCTTCTTCTCTTCTCTCTCTCTCACTCTCACTCTCTCTCTCTCTGTCGTTCACACACACCGGCTGTATCAACAGCTGATGATTCTGATGCTTAAACTCATCACAGTTGAGCCTCAGTCACACTGTCTGTCTGTCTCCACTGCCAACAATGAGAGTAAATCCCACCCTATAAACCCCCTCCCTCACACACACACACACACATACGCACGCGCGCGCCGGTGAACCCGTTGCGCCCACCCCTGCCGCGGACACGCGCGCGCGGCCCCGCCCTGATCACACTCTATATGAATGATTGAATAGCATAAATCTGTCCGCTGGGGTTCCAGTGTTCTTATTTGAGCACCTGTGTGTGTGTGTGTTCAATAGATCTGTAACACATTAAAGGTGACATGTGCCCCTTTTCACAAGATGTTATATAAATCTATGTTGTCTCAAGAATGTGTTCTCAATTTCACACACACTAACCCGAATTTCAACTCAAAACATTCCTCAGATCATTTATAGCTTGTCAAATTTCCCCCTTTTTTGGGTGTGAGTAAAAACACTCCATTTTAGTGTGTCCCTTTAAATGCAAATGAGCTTTATCTCCACCTCCGTTCAGAAGAGGGCGGAGCCTTTACACAAATTTCAGAAACAAGCCCCTACGCCGGATCCCTTACGCCGCATCCCCTACGCCGCATCCCCTACGCCGGATCCCCTACGCCGGATCCCCTACGCCGGATCCCCTACGCCGTATTCCCTACACCGGATCCCCTACACCGGATCCCCTACGCCGGAGCCCCTACGCCGCATCCCCTACGCCGGATCCCCTACGCCGCATCCCCTACACCGGATCCCCTACGCCGGATCCCCTACGCCGCATCCCCTACACCGGATCCCCTACGCCGCATTCCCTACACCGGATCCCCTACGCCGCATCCCCTACGCCGCATCCCCTACACCGGATCCCCTACGCCGCATTCCCTACACCGGATCCCCTACGCCGCATCCCCTACGCCGCATCCCCTACGCCGCATCCCCTACGCCGGAGCCCCTACGCCGCATCCCCTACGCCGGATCCCCTACGCCGCATTCCCTACACCGGATCCCCTACGCCGGACCCCCTACGCCGCATCCCCTACGCCGGATCCCCTACGCCGGATCCCCTACGCCGCATCCCCTACACCGGAGCCCCTACGCCGCATCCCCTACACCGGAGCCCCTACGCCGCATCCCCTACGCCGGATCCCCTACGCCGCATTCCCTACACCGGATCCCCTACGCCGCATTCCCTACACCGGATCCCCTACGCCGGACCCCCTACGCCGCATCCCCTACGCCGGATCCCCTACGCCGGATCCCCTACGCCGCATCCCCTACACCGGAGCCCCTACGCCGCATCCCCTACGCCGGAGCCCCTACGCCGGATCCCCTACGCCGCATTCCCTACACCGGATCCCCTACGCCGCATCCCCTACGCCGCATCCCCTACGCCGCATTCCCTACACCGGATCCCCTACGCCGCATCCCCTACACCGGATCCCCTACGCCGGACCCCCTTTCACTTTTCACGTTTTCTGTCGGTAGAAGCACCGGATTACGGCACTCACACACGGAGAAAGTCAATTTTCAGGATATGTCCCCTTTAAAGCTGCTGTTCCCATGGTAACGGCTGTGAATGATGCCCATGTATTCTCGCCCCAGGGTGTGTGTGTGTGTGTGGGATCCTAGAGCCCGGTTCCTGAGGGACCCTTTCTGACCCATTAGCTGGACATCTCCATCAGAACCGCACGACTCTTGTGAAACACCTTCTAAACACACACATCTGCTCTCAAACACACTCATTCTCACTGCTCGTATACACACACACATCACTGAAAGAAGTACTGAGAATGGATTTTTTTCCTTCTCACCACACTACAGCGATGTTATTATTTTTCCATTTTTAATAGAAAATAAACAGTAAAATATTACAACTCCCTTTTTGGTAGACAATATTGCAGTATTTATTATAAATGATTTATAATTGTGTATATTTATGTTCCTGGTAATTTGAATCAGAATAACTTCCTCTTCTCTTCTCTGATGACGAAGGCGGGGCTATAACCTGTCACTCACATGAGCTCAGCCAATAGCAAACCTGTTCTTGTTTGAGATGCACTTCACTCGATATTAGACACAATAGAGGAGAAAATACTGTTTATACTTGAAAAAAAACAAAAACAACATTCACAACATTTATTTCTAAAGCGCTTAATACTACACAGATGTTTCACAGCAGCTTCACGGTAATGAACAGGAAAATAACTGTAAAACTCATCAATTATACAAGAGAGAAACTCTCAATGAATGAAATCAATGGGGATCATTCACGGAGAGTTAGACGGCTGAATTACTGCGACTTCACAGTCTGATCTCAGTTTAACTGGAATACAGACCTAACCCTACTTCAGAAAGAGGGAATCAGAGGTCATCACTGAACTAAAGGTCATCTTGACTACTGACTGTTCATGTCATGATGGAAAAATACTGGGAAAATGGGTCCAAACCTGAACTTTCTTTCTTCTGTGAAATCAAATATCAATGAAAGTCAATGGGGTCCAAAGCTGTTTGTTTCCCAATGCTCTTTAAAATAGATACTTTTGTGTCCAGCGGAGGATAGAAATTCATACAGGTTTGAAGGACATCATTAAATGATCATATCTGATTGACTTATGACTGATCTCAACAATCCTCTGGAAATCTGCTTAGAAACAACGGACAATGACAACAAATGACAAGATGTTAACCTGAGGGACTCAACACTGCGGTATATTACCAGAAATCAATTAAAGAGAAGCCATTAAAGTCAAAGTATCTATTTTATGATGACACAATGCACATTAATATCATATTAAGTAATAAACACAGGCCAAGTGCAGACACCCTCCCCCATACTGACATTCAGACGCAACAATGATGTGTTTCAGGTGTAACGTGTTTCTGTGAGGCTCGTGACTTAAGTGCATTTGCATTTTGCTGATTCGGATTGTGTGTGTGTGTGTGTGCGTGATACTTTCAGTCTGCATCAGACACCCTACAACGACTGCACCTCCACCCCCGATCAGGCTGGCAACTGTTGCCACGGCAACCACACGGAAACGGCATCCTCTGACTCCAGCTGATGGTGAAACTCCATCCATCTCTCTCCTGTGTGTGTGTGTGTGTGTGTGTTCACAGGACCCCACGGACACTGCTGAATCCCATGCATCTCCGCTGATGCGCCGTCTCCATGGCAACAGGCCAGAGCGACATCCAGAGCGGATGACTTATACACACACACACACACACACACTCATGCTGGATGCATTAGAGAGGTGCGACTCACTCTGGGCTGTAAGATATATCGGTCAAAGCATTAAAAAACTCCTCAAAATGCTTTTATATCCACAAATTCATATTGCACTGATACTATTTAGAAAAATGCATTGAGATCATAACCAATAATAAACTGACCACATTCATAAAAAGAGATCAGACTATAAAACCATAAGCAGCATTCTTTTGATCATTGTCATAAAGTAGGGTTATATTGTAATTGAGATTAAAATGCAAGCAGGGTTAATGCAATGCATATTTATGCATTGTATTTTTACATTTTTTTAACCTTTATTTAACCAGGTGAGCACATTGAGAACACATTCTCATTTACAATGGCGACCTGGCCAAAAAAGCGTCGAGGTACAAAAAACATAAGTTACACGACAAAGTAGTACATAATTAACATAGAAGATTTAAATGTACAATAAATGCTTGCTCAATTTCTGTAAATGCGTTTTTATGAATGAATGACTCTCTCACCCCTTGCTCTAGTCTTCCTCGTGAACAGCCGCTTGCACCCCCTGCTGGTGGGCTGGACTAACTGCAGATGGAGATGATGCATCGGTAATCCACTGCTTTTCCTGCAGTTCCGCGGAGTGAAATGTTGAATTTTCTGTCGAATTTTAACCACTGAATTTGTGGAAAGCAAAATAAAATGGACTGAAAATTGACTGTCAAATATTATAGGTTGAATTCAACAAACTTTTTGTTTCAAAAACATGTGGCATTATTTTACATCCACACCATCTCAGATTAACAGAACCATAGAAGAACAATGTGGTTCCCACAAGAGGTCCCGAAGAGTGAAGTGTTTCGAGCGCCCCCTGGTGGCTTTCTGAGTTATAGGTCATAAACTCCACCCTCTCCATGTCATCCAATAGGACAAGAGCTAAACTAAAAAAATCCAATTACACTTCAAATCATTTTTTTCCAAAGATGGTGTCTGTGATTTTAGGTAGTTATCATGCATATGTATCATGCATACGTATAAGTGCTTGTTTTTCTAATAAGTTTGGTTTACACAACAAGTTACTAAAAACGGAGATGTTTTTCCTTCACGTATTGCGGACAACAACGTTGTCAAAATGATCCCCGCTCACTCGGATCCGTGAAACCAATTAAAAACGCTGTATTCTGCTGCTAGGCCAGTAGGTGGCGATGTCCCTAAGGAAACACACAGTATAAACTGAACACATAACACGTCATCGTTTTCACAAATTCAAGTTTTTCTCATTTACACGGAGACAAGACCAGTATCGTTTCCAAAAACTTGAGGTTTGCATTTTCAGGCCAACAAAATGCCACTGCTGTGTAAATGAACAGCCAAAACACATAGAAAGCTTTTAGATGAAAATAAATATTGTGTAAAAGGCCACAGAGTCATTAGATGCTATAAAAACAGTGAAAGACAAAAAAGACAGCTGTGCTTGCGAATGAATCCGTGGGCGGGACCTTCATGCCACGACATCATCGGCAAAGACCGTTAATGGGATATTTTGGCTTCATTCATAGAATATTCCTCACCATTCCTGACGGTGGGGTAACAAGCCATGGACAGGGTGAGGGTTCGAGACAGTGAAGGCCCAGTCTCGCAAGAGGGAAACAGTGCTTTTTGGGAACGGGAATTCGGGGCCCTATGGGTCTGACCCGCTTTGTTAATGGCCTTGGAGGGTGGAGTGTATTTGGAAGAAGGAAATGCTAATTGTAAGGAGACATACATATCTGATATAGCGCTGATTAGCCTTAAACCCAACACTGGCCACTTCTGTATTGCAGGGATTGATGGATTGAAGAGTCAGGGTTTGGCGGTTGCCAGGAGAACGGTTCCTGGCTGACTACATTGTGCCAAAGGGGGGTTATGGTGCGGGGTTGTTTGGTGGAGGGGGGGTTATGGTGCGGGGTTGTTTGGTGGAGGGGGGTTATGTGTATAGTGTATATAGGCCTCCTCTCATGCTGATTGGATAGAGAATTTGAACATGTTCCTTTCCTCAAACTTTGTTAATAAAACATCATTTTTGGAGATTCAGGAGATCAGATTCAGATGTGTGTTTAAATGTAAATATCATTTATTTATATTTTGTAGATCTTTTATGCTATATTACATTTGACCTTAAGCTTTAGCAAATACAGTGAAAACTACTACACCCCGTTTGGGGAGTTAAAAACTGCCTTCACAGATATTATACAGTGTGGAAATAAACATGTAGGTCATATTTTAGTTTAAACTTAAGC